AGCACAGCGGAACAAAGCTGCATGCAAACAACAAGGCAACCACATGGTCATGAAACAAGAAGGAACGTCAAACAAACACCAAGGTCTACAACGACGGGCAACGAGCTCATAATGCTGCTATGACATCACGCTGCGGCAACCGGTTGACACACAGACAGACAGAGAGAGAGAGAGACAGACAGACAGACAGACAGACCAGGACAGACCAGGACAGACCAGGACAGACCAGGACAGACCAGGACAGACCAGGACAGACCAGGACAGACCAGGACAGACCAGGACAGACCAGGACAGACCAGGACAGGCCAGGACAGACCAGGACAGACCAGGACAGACCAGGACAGACCAGGACAGACCAGGACAGACCAGGACAGACCAGGACAGACCAGGACAGACCAGGACAGACCAGGACAGGACAGGACAGGACAGACAGGACAGGACAGGACAGGACAGGACAGGACACGACAGGACGGGACAGGACAGGACAGGACAGGACAGGCAGACAGCCAGCCAGCCAGCCAGGCAGGCAGGCTGGCAGGCAGGCAGACAATCAGATAAATAGATGGGTAGACAGATAGATAGACAGACACACAGACATATAGATACTGCACATAGGCAAAAAGATAAATCAATAAGTAGAAAGGGAGAGGGAGATACAGATAGCGAGAGAGAGAGAGAAAGAGAGATAGAGAGAGGGAGAGAGCGAGAGAGAGAGAGAGAGGGAAAGAAAGAAAGAAAGAAAGAAAGAAAGAGAGAAAGAAAGAAAGAAAGAAAGAAGAAAGAAAAGAAAAGAAAAGAAAAGAAAAGAAAGCAAGAAGGGGAAATAGAGATCAACACACAGATAGACGGGCACACGGGCACATATCAGTCCTAGGACATCGTCACGAGAGTCACATCATACGGAAAATGACAGGTTAAATGCCGCAGACCAGAATGATCCCAAAACGCAGACACGCACTTTGTGCAAGCCTGCACTTCAACATGTCACAAGAGCATACAAGAGCCACTTTATACGGATAACGGATATCTACAGGTAAAATGCCGCGGCCCAGATTGAGCCCAGAACGCAGACACACACTTTGTGCGAGCCTGGGCCTGTGCAGTCGAAATGCACTTCATCATGTCAGAAGAGCCACATCGTGCGGGAACTCACGGAAATTTACAAGTAAAATGCTGCAGACCACAATGAGCACCCAGATGAGGCACCGGCCTTTACACCTACCGCAAGAACCCCTCAGTGTGGACAAACTGTTTGGGGAATCAAAAGGCAGACTGCAACTGCCTGGTCCATTGACATGGTTCCTTGAAGTTGATGCAAGCGTGTCACTTCTGGACTGTATAAAGTCTGTGTAACACCTAGGCAGCATGCATCCAGCACGTAGCTGGCCCGGGCACACGGGCACACGGGCACAACCCCGATCCACGGGCACACGGGCACCTGGGCACAGGCCAACAGAAGACTGCCCTCCACGTTTGGATCTGCAAGAAGACATCCCCAAAAGCCACAGAATTGTCCAAGCCACTCAAGAGCGATGACTGTCACGCAGTACTGCTCAACCCGCTGTCTCAGCTATGGTCTCCTGAGCATTCCTGAGCTTTCTAAGGATGAAGCCCTCGCAGATCTGCTGGTCAGTATAACCTACGACCTCGAGTTGGAACATCCCTTAACTAATCTTAAGCGGATTCAATAATGCCAAATTTGGCTCCTGGCCTGGCCACGCAAGCACCTTTGCAGGGATGGTTATACAATTGTTATACAAGTGCTGGAGCAGCATGGATTCCCAGGCTTTGCCGCCGCTGTTCTTTGCATTTATCTGTTGGCTTCAATTCGGTTTCATTCGCAACAAAGCATCTCAAAGCAAAATAGCAGCTCCTGTATGATTCAGTGAAAACATTTCAGGCATCCGGAATTAGGTTAGGCACCACTTGCCATCATATATTGCCGTGCCACTGCCATATTAGATTCCTGATATTACCAAATGCATCTGCCACGTGGCCTGGGGATGTGGGATTTTTGTTGTGCCAAGATTTGAAACTGGGTTTGATCAAGTTGGGTCAGCCAAATTTTGAAAGCTAGCCCTGAGGAGCACGAGGTTTGGTGTTGCTCAGAGTTCAGGAGACAAAGAACCATTCTATACTGCAGTGGTATTTGAATCCATTTCAGTACCAGGCACGGACATGATTCTTTAATCTGGCCGCCCCATCAGCAACACGGCCCTTGTTCGGATTGATTTGGGGTGTTGAACTGAGGATCAATGATCAATGTACATCGTATCGCCAAGGCTCCAACAAAGCCATGTCCAAGTCCAAGCTTCGGATCATATGAGGGCAACCTTGGAGCAACGCGTCCAGTGAGAACAACGATTTCCATGAGAAAGTCTAAAGTCAATGGCTGGTTTGGCATTCTTATGTGCCTCTGGGACTCTACGGCGTAAAAAATTGATTCAGGTCTGAAGCAATTTCACCAGTTGGAATTTGGGACATCCATGGCCGACAACAATGCCCAACACCTGTGGCTTGGTGAATCCACCAACAGACGCGGAATCATGTCCTGTTGAAACGCTCCCACCTGATCTGATTGTTTGATAATTGTTGACCAAGCCCATAACCATTTTGAAGATTTTTGAAGATGATGTCCAGCCATCAAAACCGAATATCCAGGTTCTGCCCCTCTGATCCATGCCCACTCATGGTGGATGACCGGTCCTGCTGCCACAAATTGGTTCGACCAGCTTTGTTGCCGGCTTGACGCTTTACTTTCGCTCTTGATGTCACAAGCTTGAACAAAATACTATACAAGTCCGTGAGCCCTGTTAATTGCGGCTGGGTTTTTTTGGTGAGCGGGCCAGGGGGGTAGTGAACCAAAAACCACTGTTTATTTACCCATATGAGCTGTTCAGGCTTATCACTGACCACCAGCAAGTTTTGCACATACACAGAAAGCCTTAATATGGACATATCTCAAGGTCTTATGTCAAAACATTCCCAATATCAGCGTGGCGTGGTGGTGATAGGCAAAAACACGCCACCAACTCAAACCAGGAGGAAATTGCCACACAATGCACAAGTTCGTTTTTTGTCCTTCACTGCCGCTGACAGTGAGAGGAATCTGAATTGGCCAAGTATTTGTCGGCATGGCTGGGCCAGTGCATTTGAAAATTCCCCCCAAAAAATGCATAAGAAAAAAAAAAGCAAACTTGACCAAAAGGGATGTGGTGAGCGTTCTGGTGAGCATTCTACCAAAATGATGACCATAACCCCACTGGCGGTCATCATTTTGGAATGATGACCATGGTCGTCATATGATGACCATAAGGTGACCACCAGAACGACCATGGTCATCATTTTAAAATGATGACCGCGTGGTCATCATATGGTCATCATTTTACCCCTGCTTTCCACACTTTGATGACCATGGGTTTACCCGCTTAGGCAAAGAACGACCATGGTCATCATCCAAAACACCCAGTGGTGGGCGACAGTAGTTTGGAGAATGACCACCACCAAATGATGACCACCAAAAATGACGACCATGAATGATGACCACCACGATCAAAAAAGTCAACCAAGAAAAAAACACGCCAAAAACAAGCATCAAATGTCGAAGCAGCAGCAACGAAGCATTCCCAAGAGAAAAAAATGCCGCCCTTTCTATCAACAGAAGAGCTGGTGGTGCCCAAACTTGCTTACAAGCGCCATAAAAATTTTGTTTGGGATGTTAAAGGTGCCTTTGACGCCTCTAAAATGAAAGGGAGGCCCAAGAACCCCTAAGAGGCAGCGATCAGATTTTTTTTGCTGTTCGTTCTTGCGTTTTAGCGGCGCCGGGGCCAAAAAATATGTGCAGGATGCACTGAACAGAAATTGGTGAGCATAAATTTGGCCATTAAAAATAAAACAAGGTTTGAAATTGACCATTAGGCCCCTTATGTTTTTTCAAAGTTATTAACACACCTCACGGACTTCTATACAAAATACCAGCTTGCTGGTTTATTTTTGGGGTACAGGTGCCCGGACCCTAAACATTGTCAGATATTGCTAGTCTCAACAGGAACAATCTTCCGGAAACCACTTTCGAGGTTCTGGCCATTGGGTTTCACCTGCACTTCAGCCACCAGCCAAGTACAGTACCATTCGGTACCATTCATGAGATGCCATTGAACCCACCCAGTTTAGCCAGCCCAGTCATCCACGGTTTTCCACCCAACTTCCAATGAAAGCCCAGGAGCAGTGATGTTCAATCGTCCACCACCACGAGGAGCTTAACTTTGTCTCCACCTCAAAGGTGTGCCAACAGCTACGACACAGCTGAAATGGCAAGCTGGTTGGAGTTGGTTGGTGGTTTCAACATGTTTCAACTCCCCTGAAAAATAGTAGTCAGGTGGGATCATGATCCAGGATGGAAAAAGGTTTTCACACCGGACCACTAATTGGCAACCAACCACGCCATCCCTTGAAATCTTCGCCCTTCCACTGGACCCTGTGACCAGGGAGATCCTGTCGATTTCTGCACCGGCAATACCTCAATGTTGGTTGGGTGGGTTATAAATGGCTATCAGATCATCACACTTATCATGAATGTGTTACCATACTAGTGGTTGATACTTAGGACTTAGTTGATACTAGCTGATACCGCTGCCACATGGTCTCGCTCCCAGAGCCTGGGAGATGGCTGTTGGTCAAGCCACCCATCCACAGGTTTTCTGTGATAAACCTGGTCAAGATAAGCCATTGCATGGCAAGCCCTGACTGAAGCATGGAACCTATCACTGGTATCCAATACAAAGTCATCTGGATGCTGCTTCAGGGGTATGCTCCAAGTACTGTTGCAAGGCATAGCACCAGGCATCTTCTCATTTCTCTCCGCTTAAAACTTAAAACCTACGATTCTCTTGGCAAAGATCCAAAGCCACAATCAAGATTGTAGCAAACGTTCAAACAGGATGGCACTTGGCACTCTTGGCCAAACATGGCCACACCAAACAGGAATGTGCAGGCACGCTTCAACGCGCTGAGGCTTTGCAGTCGTCATTGGGACCAAAAGCCTTGTTATCAAACCAGTAGGGCGGGATAAACTGCAGGTCATAGATGCCAACCTCATCAACTTGAAACGCATCCGCAAAGTAAATCATGAACTCCTTGAAGGTCTCCCATTGCCAAAAGGAAAAACCATCAAATGTGCCGCAGATGTCAGACACATTCTTCACACCGGCACTGAAGTGTGTCGCAAAGCACGACTTCAGGGATAGACCTTCAAAGCTGAACATAGGAATCACCGCCTTCCCTGGCGCGTTGGTCTTTACCCAACGGATGTTGTCGATCAAGGAGGGAAAGCCGGGCTTCTCTTGCATGACCTCCGGGGCAGAAATCCATGGAAATCCCTGGCATCTGGGGCCAAACATGGCCAAACCCCCCAAGTTAAGGATGGTTTTCACATGTTATCGCCATCAAATAACCACAAAATGCAATGGTTATTGAGTACCAGATTGGGGAATCCCAACCTATTCTCATGCTTTCATGGGTACCCTTTATGAACCGACCATCCAATATCCTCTAGGGTCTGGAAAAAAACACTTCCCACCCAGCGTCCCACCTTGTCACTGATGTTCAGCCAATTTAGGAACGGCCACGCTTTGTCTACGAACGAGCGGTAACTGGACTGCGTCGTGCAAACCGGCGGCTTTTCTTTGAGCTGCCATTGGTCACCAGTGCAGGGCCATAGCTCACCCATATACCAATAAGTCTCCGGCATGGTGTAGGTCACACCTGGAAGTGGCGCGGGTAGTAGTAGTTGTAGTGGTTGTATTAGTTGTAGTTGTAGTAGTACTATATAGTAGTACTACTCTGGTACTAGCGGTAGCTGTATTAGTGGCAGTAGCAGGAGCAGTAGCAGTAGGAGTAGGAGCAGCAGTAGCAGCAGCAGCAACAGTAGCAGTAGCAGTAGGAGTAGTAGTAGCTGTAGTAGTAGCTGTAGTAGTAGCTGTAGTAGTAGCTGTAGTAGTAGCTGTAGTAGTAGCAGTAGCTGTAGTAGTAGCAGCAGCAGTAGCAGTAGCAGCAGTAGTAATAGTCTCGTCAAAATCTCTAGCGCAAGAATTCCCAAAAAAACAGCTTGGGACCCCCACCTGCAATTCTTGCACCCGAAAATCGGTTGGAAAATCGGTGGAAAAAACCAAGCGCCTGGCCTGGGCTTTGGGGTCCAGCAGCGATGGACTTGGCCATGCCCACCTCTGGAATGCCCAGCTCGTCGCCCAGAAGTTTAAATTGGCAGAGAGCCCAAGCAGTTGCGGATTCACCTGGAAAAGGACAGAAAAAACCTGGAGCATCATTTTTGCGGAAGTTCTATGTATGCATGTGTTGAACTTCCCAAAAAAACAACTTCAAGACCCCCTTTTGATTTGCGTTTTGCTCTTTCCCACCTCCATCTTCACCATCGAAAGACAACGTGGAGAACTTCACGTTTTTGGCCTTGGCGTTCACAGAGGCCAACCAGGTCACTACTTGCGCCGCCAAGTTGGGACAGCCGGCCGGGCAGTTGCCGGCAGTCAGGCATGCGGATTGATCCACCGGACAGTGGGGGGCAGAGATGAGGGCCTTCCTTGGAATCAGACTGGAATGTTCACCCATGATACTGTTGATGGACGAAATCCTGCACCACTTGGTTAGATGTAGTTAGTTTATCCCACTATTCTTGGGGTTTCATTCATCCCAGGTGCTGCAGGATTTCGTCCACCAACTGCATGGCTCTCGGTCAAACAATTTGGGGGCCTAAGGTTGCGTAGTTGCGTATGGTCCCAGGGGTTCAACCCAGACCCATATGACAGATAAACCCAGGGCCTGCAACAGATATTAACAACAAATCATGCAATGTAGTGAATTTGAATGCGGGTTTGAAGGTTAAATCCAGGACCACCCATTTACAAGATCCCCTTATGGATTGTGTACGGGGGTGCCGCTTGAATGAAACGGACATGTTCGCCATTTGGGGCTCTAACAACCGTTGATCAAACTTCCCTCCCTCCCATGCATAATTTTAACTGAAGGTGCCATCACTGAATGTTCATTGGCTGTGTTTGGAGGGATCCTCTCCAAATCAGTCCAGCCTGAAGTTGTTCGATCGCCGATTCTCCAGAGGTGAGCCTCTCTGGAGCATCCTGGCAACAAATGGTGATCCCATCTGATATGCCTTGAACAACTGTATCATTCAGTGCAGTCGCTGTTTAAGCCTCACTCTCCGATGTGGATTCGCTGCTCGAGCTGTCGCTTTCAAATGGCCAGCACTTATCGCATTTACGAATGTCAGTGCTGGGATGCTCGACACTTCTGGTGAATTTAGAAAATGCAAATTTCCAACCGCACTTGGTAGACCAAGTTTCTGGATGATGTGCAATGCCGTCAATGTGTACAACATGCCATGTACGTGACGAATTATTCATGACATATTCAGCTGGTTTAAGGCTCCAACTCTTGCGCACCTGAGAGATCTCGTCCCTGATCATTTGTTGCGTGCGACTATCCAGGGCAGTGATATCGTTCTCAAGCTTAGAGACCCTAGGTTCCATGTTTGATGAAGAGGTGTCCGCCTGGTTACATCGGCTCAGTTCATCCATCTGTTTGCGGATGCTGTCTCGCTTGGCTGACAGTTTCTCTTCTTCTCGAGCTTGTTCAAAGTCCTGTGTGATTTTAGTGAGTGGAGCCGTCTGAGTATAATGCAAAAGCATTGGTGACTTCCATCTGGCCATAAGTTCCACTTGATAAAGGTGCATCCCTGAGGCAGACAAAACTCTGGCTCCAGCAAGGCGCATGCTGTGTCCTCCTAACAGTCGATTTCCATCTTCATCTACACTGGAAAGACCTAGATGTGTGTGAAGAGCTTCCAGCGTTTCGACTACCTTGACTTTCTCGACTGTTTCACCAGTTTCCGTTGGAAAGAAAGGCAAATCCAAAGGTCTCGAAGGTGCAGGAAAGAATTCATCAAGATATTCCATCTGGGCCTTTGCTGAATGGAATGGACATCCATTTATTCCACTGGATCTGCACAGGCAACCCCAAGTGCGTTCCACGCTGGCCGCTGAGGGATCAGTCTTGCTGCTAGGCAAACGAAGGGTGACGCTGAAGTCATCCCTGTTCATCTTTACATTGGCAGCTAGCAAAAGGGAAGCTTCGATCTCTCTGAGCATGAAGAAGGTGCCGATGACCACCAAGTTGTGTGGGCCAAGCGGACCACCCTCCGTGAGAGGTTCTGAGTCAGAGATGTAGCCACTGCGGGCGGCGATGATCTTCTCAAACTCTATGGGCGTTCTCTGGCTTACGGGTCCAATGCCTCTGGTAACAGAGCGGCATGCCCTCTTTGATTCCATGGCCAGATCGACGCCCCACTCCCCGTACATGTCGATGTGTTTCTCCTTTGCCTTTGACATGTAGTTGCTGAAGCTGCGATAGCCGCATGCCTTAAAGGCAGCAGCTACGTTGGCTATCTTCTCTGGTGTCAATGGGTAAACTGGCAAATTCGTGCCCATCATTCGGCGGTGCATGGCATCCCAAGTTCTAAGAACGGCTGCTGCCGGCCCCTTTGCACTACTGGCTGTATAATCTCTGCGCAAAGCAGTCAGGGCCTCCATCCTCTGAGCATCTGTCCACTCAGATTCCGAAGGGCGTCTGGCTTTGCGGGTGAAATTGCAGATCGGTGCATCCTTTCTGTCGGCAACCCAGGGAACGTTGGACGGCGTTCTGGGTGCTGATTTGACACTTTCAGGAACACCGGTCTGTCCGGCGGTGTTGGGACTCATTTGTGCGTCACCACAGGGCTTTGCTCCACCATTGATTGCACTCAGCGAAATGAGGGGAAGACGATGACAAAATTTACGTTTCCCCATGTTTAAGAAACTTGAACCTATTGCAAGCATGAGGAATCTCACACGCGGCTCAGAGAAAGGGGCACATCCCTTGAATCAAGAATGCCAAAAAAGGGAAAATAAGACAATTCGCTCAGCTGTCTCAAGCAAGTCGCAAAGAACATGTTGACATCTGCGACCTAACAGGCACTCTGAAATTAAACATGGCAGCTAACCTGATTCGCAAACATGGCCATTTAAACATGGCAGCTCACCTAATTCGCAAACATGGCAGCTCACCTGCTTCGCGCCTGTTCGAAGCTTCTCCTGAGCGAGAGCAGTGTCATGCCAAGTAAGTGCGATCTTCAATTGTATACCAGGGTATTAACTAAACTAATTGTAGATTATAAGGAGGCATAGCGACGTCAATCACCTCCACGGTTGTGGATGGGGGAGATGAATTGAGCGGTTGCCCACGCTCTGATTAAGAAATATAAGCGGTGCCCACGCTTCAGCGATGATTGAGCGGATGCCCACGCTCACATGACTCACTCGAAACTGGGCTCCAATTCAGGACGGTAACCGCGCCCTGGCGAGCTATTCTCATGGAATTGGTTTTCAAGTGACATGTGTGGCATAATAGGCGATCTTCATTTTGATTCCTGGGACATTGCCCTCAAGCAGTCTCATGCACGACCCTACTTGCTGCTCTGCGTCGCGGTCGTGGTGGCCTTGTAGAAGGTGAATCACGCTTTGGTGCTGCATCGCGTCTGGACTTCAGGAGTGGCACAGGGATCTTCAACATTTTGTTGGGCTGGCTGAGTCTACTCAAGATGTCGGCCCAATCATTGGCAAGCCCCGGAATGTGTTGAAACAGCCGTGGTTTGTATGTTGCTGTTCCGAACTCAAGGGCCAACTCTCTTGCAATCACCGAAAGGCCATGGGATCGATGTTTTGGCCTCAGCTTGATCAACAGGGTGAGGATTCCAATGTTGTCGCTGCGAATCCTCAGCGACACTCCTGGTCTCTTCCAGTATTTGCGCCACATTCTCAAGGCCACCAATATGGCCAATGCTTCGACAACCTGCTGTGCAGAACTTTCGCCTGCACAAATGTGCAAGTTGTTCTCGTCTTCAGCTTTGATGGAGTCTCCATAGTAGGCCATCACAGTGTTGTTGATGGTGATGTAGCCTCCAATGCCCCAAGGTGAGGCATCTGTGACGATAGCCACCTGCATGCCCTTCCCAAGGTACGTGTCCACCCGGTAGCATCTCCGGATGGAGAACTCTTCTTCGGCTAGAAAGGCAAGCATCCAATCTGTAACATGCCGCCACTGTTTCGTCCAGTAGCAGTTCTTGGGCGCGCAGCTGCCGACAGTGGTATGAATGACTCCATAAAGATCAGACATAAAAGGCCTGATGAGCTCAACAATGCCGGCGACATGATTGAGCTTGCCCACATAGGATAGAAGGGCCTTCTTTGACACCATGTTGCATCGAGCATGTTCTTCAGTGGTTGCGCGAAGTTTGTCGACAATCTCTTGCTTGGCAGTGGCAATCAAGTGAGCACGCGGTGTGCCTTGCTGCCTTGCTTGAAGCTCCGCACCAATCCACACGATGCGATTGCCTCTCGCCGCCTTCTTGTAGGCCAATCGAATGCCCAAACTTGACCAGAGGCAAATGGTCATAGCCATGTGGCGGTCTCGCAGTCGACGATCACCACGAAGGCAGATGCAAGGATCATCGACGTACAGCTGAAGTCTATATTGCACCTCACTGAAGACTGCTTGTGTGATTCGAGCAATCATGGCAGCCACCCTGCCGCAAACCAGTGGTGCATTCTTGCTGCCTTGTTCCTGGGTAAGGAATGCAACCCAGCGGCCTCGGTAAGACCACGTGAAGTGCTTGCGCTCCAAAGGGTGGAGCGGGATATTGTAGAACCAGTCGCTGAAGTCGAGTATCAACCACTCAATCTCTTCTCCAGCTTCACAGCGGCTCATGAGATACAGAGCATCGTCAATGGCATCTGTTGTCCTAGGGCGCGCTCATTGACTCTGCTCTCCTTGCAGTCTAGGATGAGCCTGCGTTTCGTCTTGCCATCCTTCTCCTTGGTGATCATCCCCAAGCGAGACAAATGTGGCTGGCCCTCGACCCATAGTTGCAGATCTTCGTAGCTACTGAACTACTTCACGAATCCAGTCTCAATGAGTCGATTGACCTCAGGTTCTGCAGCTGCATCATCATCCACCGAAGAGTAGTTTGTGTGTCCATGATGATCGGGTATATCTATTGTTTCCCCTTCACCGTGGCTCTCAATATCCGCTGGAAAGATGCAGCCGGGATCTGCAATGGGCAATGATATGCCAGCTGGTGCGCCACTGCAAAGCCATTGGTGGATGATGTCCGTGTCAGGGTCGCCCATGGCACGTCCAATTTTCCAAAGCAGGTTGGCCTCAATCTTCGTGTCCAAGGCCTTTTCATTTGGCATTGGAGCATCATCCTGAATGCAGCGTAAGGCTCTTCTGACGGCATCATCCTGTTCCGCAGTGGGTCCGCAGTTGCAGTCTTCAGATCCGATCGAACTGAGACATCGGTCTTCAAGTCCGTCCAAACTGTCCATCAGCTTGTCCAGGATGGAATAGATCTGAGCCCCAACCACTCGATAATTCGGGAGGCTGTTTGAAATCTTCTTGGGATTGCGCATGCCGCCCCAACACTCATTCTCGGCCTGGTCAGGGTCATATTGTTTTCGCTTCCCTCTCAAAGGTGTGGTGAGCTCCACCTTGCTGCGTACGGTACACGACGGCCGCTTGTCTAGGCCTGCAGTTCTCCGCTTGAGAACATTGCGCCAGCGGCCGACCAGCTCATAGCCGGTGTCAACTGCAGTTGCATCAGCGACCGAGTCGGCAGCAGAAATCAAGGCATGGGCCAGTTTGTTATTGAGGTCCGCTGGGTAGGCTTGTGCAGCTGACGTAAGGTAGGGCATGTTCTTGAACTTCTCGCGGATCTGCTGAGGTGTCAACAGCATGCTTCTGTTCCACTGTGCCCCCTGGATGTACCACTCCTTGCCCTGCAATGGTGGATGTGGAGACCAAACCTTCTCGCCGGTGCTCGGCTTGATCCAGAGTTGTTTCGAATGGTTGCAACTCGATTGCAGCATTGGAGGATTGATGAGGTAGGCAATCAATGTGGTTGGTTTGGTGGTTGGTGCCCCAAATTCACATTGATCCAGTTCAATGCACTCGACCCCCACCAGTTCAAGCAGCTGTTGAAATTCGTCCAAGTTGTACATGGAGACAGATGTGCCATCCTGCTTCCAGCGTGGCTGCTCCACAATGAAAGGTTTGCGCTGCTCATGGAACTCCGTACTGGCTTCTGTGGTGCGAACTGCCAGCAAGGTGCCGAGCTTGACCTTCTCCTTGTCTGACGGGCCGAGGAAGCTGTAGCCGTATCGCTCGTCGCCAGAAGGTCCTCTGAGCGGCTTGGGCCCAGCATCATCCCATCGCCTGGCGTTTGTGAATGTGTTGCATGGTGGGCCAGCCAGCAGAGCGTCATAGACCCCGTTCTTGATGTCTGACATGATGCCTTGCCAGATGTGATCATTGGCAAGGTCCTGCTCTGCCCCATTCACCAGATCGTATTCGACGCATTGGCCGCCTAAGGCCCTGACGGCATTAGCAAAGCCATCCACTCTGTTGGACGGTCCACTGAACAGGTGCAAAATGCGTTTGCCTCTAAAGTGAAAATCAATGGGCCCATGCATAGCTACATCTGAGCTATCCAATGACCGATCTGTGCGTTTGCCTGTGGAGGCTCTCAGGTCGGACTCTTTCAAGTCGTCCTTCATTTGCTCCATTGAATTCTCATGCACTGATTGCACACTGCTCGTAAGTCACTTCTTAGACTTACCTTTGCTCTTCCCCTTCCGGTGTCCTGCTCTCGGCGGCTTCGGTGTATCGTTGGGGCATTTGTTTGCACCATGTAGTTCAGACAGGCATTTCGAGCACTGGTGTCGACGGCTGGGATTGCGAGAACAGTTCCCATGGACGTCCTTCTAAGTGCATTCGCCTGTCTGAAACAACTTGCACAACTCCATGTCTCTTCGGTTGTGTGTGAACATGCCATCCTCACCGATGCGGTGCACTCTGACGTCTGGGCCCCTCTGTCTCTTGGAGGGTCGACTGTCCCCCGTTGCTGGCCTTGAAGTTGGTGCCGCCGCGGATGCTGATGCTGGACTGGATGCCTTGACAATCGGGGCGTCGTCGGCCAGAAGTTGCGTGAGGTTGGCGGTCTTTGCAAGGTAGAGCATAGATGGCTCTACGACTTCCTTGTTCCAGAAGATGTAGTCCTCTGCCAACTCCTTCCAGACACATTCCCAAGGACGGTTTGTGTCAAATGGGTGTGAGAGGCCTAAACATCTGGCTGATTCGTAGGCTTCTTGTCCTCGTCGACGAATCCTCTCAACTTGCTCAAGCCTGGCTCTGACGTCGGCTTGGTAGATGATGGCCCAGCATGCCTTTCCGTACCGGTCATGAAACTGCCGGATCGTTTTCTCATAAGCGTCCAGCTTCGATGGTGTGATCTGCTCCAGCATTATCGATCCAGTTCGGAATACCATGTAGCATTCTCTCCAGCTCTCAAAGTCAGCTGGACCATAGAGCTCAATGGGTGCAAATTCACCGCTCGATGTGAATCTGAGTCCTTTGAGCTTGATCTTCTTCTGAATGCGATGCTGGAAAGGCCCCCAAATTGCCATGTCAGTGTAAGGCGCTCTGCCAGACTTGTATAGGGAGCTTAGTGTCGTCAATTGCTCAGCGCTTAGCTCCTCATCGTCCGGTGGAAATCCGCCCAATTGATCACGATAGGCAATGTAGGCTGCGTTGATTGCATTTGCATCCAGATGATCAACGTCTTCATCGTCCACCTGGTTGATCACTTGGCTCATCTTCACTTTACGTGGGCCAGTGGTCGCTGGAGGTGCTGCCGGCGCAATCGGTTGTAATCGGGCCGCTTGTTGCTCCGGAAGGGTGCCGCAGATGAAACGGCATGTCCTGAAGAACACCCCAACTTGGCCAAGTTGGGTCATAGATGGTGGTGTCGCCGCTGCAGGTGCTGGTCGTGGGATGCGCCAAGTAGCTAGTACTGTTTGTACGTCATCATGAGGCAGCAGTGCCAAGGTCCTTGGTGGTTCAGAGCCATTGCATCCCAGCAGTGAGAAAAGGGAGCCTCTCACCGTGGTGTTGTCCTGTCTATCTCCTTCTATGCCTGCCCACTGTGCTACAAGGTCGATGTTCACCAGTGTGAGCTTTGTAGCCTCATCGGGATCCATGTGCTCGAACTGCAATGCCCGATGGAAGGTCAACACACGTGGTGGTGGATGGAATCCTGGGACTGAAACACCACTTGGCACAGAGGCAAATGAGGATGGTGTACAGGCACAAAGCCAACAGCACAAGATCCAGCAGCGGCAATAGATGTGAATGGGGAGGCTCAGCACGGTCGATGACCCAGCTGGTCGACATGCCATGATCAAATTTTACAAGACTCCCCATCTTGAGACCAAAATGGCATATTCGATGGGGATTGCAAGCCACCAGCCCACCAGGTTTGATCAACTATTTTGTTACTGCCACACTTCGTGTTCTATCCCCCAATTATCATCAATCAACCATTAGTTGATCATGGGTGTTCGCTCTGTTCAACCAATCGGAAAACGCAATAACCAACGAACAAGATCAAAACCCCCAAGGGAATCCAGTTGAAGCACAGCAGTTTGATATGTGGGGTTGTACTGCAGTATACTGCAGAAAAACAGATCGAATTCGCAACGGTAAACCGACGGTAAACCGTCAAACAGGTGCCCGAATCCCACCACCGAGTGGCAAGTCTGAACAGCTGCACTTGGAAAGGTCGTGCCCAGTGCAACCGGGCGCCAAGCCGAGGCCAGCACCTCCAAGGAGCTTGTCCTCTGAATCGGGGCTCGGCAAGGTGTCAATCTTTCACGGTGAAATGCTTCACTGATTCAAAGATATTCAAGGTTTACCAGTAGTACCGCACAAGGCGGTGGCGGAAGTTTCAAAAATAGGAAACCTATAGGAGAGGTTGGTTGTTGTGAATCAGGGATGGCAGAGCGAAGCCACTGATGGACTGAAAGGTGCTTGATTTCTCTCACTCTTTCTATCTCTTTCTCTGACTATCTACCTACCTACCTATCTATTTTCTATGTATCTATCTATCTATCTATCTATCTATCTATCTATCTATCTATCTATCTCTCTCTCTCTTTCATCTAATTCCCCAATCTATCGATCTATCTATCGACCTATCTATCTATCTATCTATCTATCTATCTATCGATCGATATATCTATCTCTATCTATCTATCTATCTATCTGTCTGTCTGTCTGTCTGTCTGTCTGTCTGTCTGTCTGTCTGTCTCTCTGCCTATCTGTCTACCTGTCTATCTGTGGTGCAGTGTCATTCAGTGTATTGTAGTGTAGTGTAGTGGAGTGTAGTGGAATGTAATGTAGTGTAGTGTAATGTAGTGTAGTGTAATTTCGTGTAGTGGAGTGTAGTTGTGTAGTCGTAGGTTGTAGTTGTAGTGTAAAGTGAGTGTAGTGTAGTGAGTGGAGTGTAGTGGGGAATTTATGTATGTGTGTAGTGTAGTGTAGTGTGTAATTTCGTGTAGTGGAGTGTAGTTGTGTAGTCGTAGTTGTCGTTGTAGTGTAGTGGAGTGTAGTGTAGTTGTATGTATGAAGTGTAGCGGAAGGTAGTGTAGTGTATGTAGTGTAGTGGAGTGTAGTGTAGTGTAATGTAGTGTAGGGTAATGTAGTGTAGTGTAGTGTAATTTAGTGTAGTGGAGTGTAGTGGAGTGTAGTTGTGTAGTTGTAGTTGTAGTGTTGTGGAGCGTAGTGTAGTGTAATGTAGTGTAGTGGAGTGTAGTGTAATTTATGGTAGTGTAGTGGAGCGTAGTGTAGTGTAATGTAGTATAGTGAAATTTACTGTAGTGGAGTGTAGTGGAGTGTAGTCTAGTTGTGTAGTTGTAGTTGTAGTGTTGTGGAGCGTAGTGTAGTGTAATGTAGTGTAGTGGAGTGTAGTGTAATTTATGGTAGTGTAGTGGAGCGTAGTGTAGTGTAATGTAGTATAGTGAAATTTACTGTAGTGGAGTGTAGTGGAGTGTAGTCTAGTTGTGTAGTTGTAGTTGTAGTGTTGTGGAGCGTAGTGTAGTGTAATGTAGTGTAGTGGAGTGTAGTGTAATTTATGGTAGTGTAGTGGAGCGTAGTGTAGTGTAATGTAGTGTAGTGAAATTTACTGTAGTGGAGTGTAGTGGAGTGTAGTCTAGTTGTGTAGTTGTAGTTGTAGTGTTGTGGAGTGTAGTGTAGTGTAATGTAGTGTCGTATAGTGGAGTGGGGTGTAATGTAACGTAGTGTAGTGCAGTGAAGAGAAGCGGCGAAGCGACATCTGAACCTCCAAAAGTGGTCCGAACCCCTAGTGTTTTGTACATTTTCACTTCGAAATGTGCTTCGCGCCACAACGGCGTGCACTTTTTCAACATCCGAACCTCCAAAAGTGGCGCGAACATGTAGTGTTTTGTACATTTTGACTTGGAAATGTGCTTCGTGCCACAACGGCGTACACTTTTTCGACATCTCAACTTCCAAAAGTGGTCCGAGACCGCCAGTTTTTAACACTTTTTACTTCCAAATGTGCTTCGCGCCACAACGGCGTGCACTTTTTCGACATCGCAACGTCCAAAAGTGGTCCGAACCCCTAGTGTTTTTAACATTTTGACTTGGAAATGTGCTTCGCGCCACAACGGCGTGCACTTTTTCGACATCGCAACTTCAAAAAGTGGTCCGAACGTGGTGTGTTTTGTACATTTTGACTTGGAAATGTGCTTCGCGCCACAACGGCGTGCACTTTTTCGACATCGCAACTTCCAAAAGTGGTCCGACCATGGTGTGCTTTGTACATTTTGACTTCCAAATGTGCTTCGCGCCACAACGGCGTGCAATTTTTCATCTCTCCTCTGGCCAGCTGGCTCCGCACCCGCCGCTTTAGCGAGCCTACTTTTCGACCCTCCGGAGCCACAAATCATTGGAAAAACACAGTGTTTCGCGACTTTCCTACCTTTTCGCGCATCTGCATCTTCTGTCTTTTTACTCTTTCTCTTCTACTCTTCTTTCTTCTAATCTTTCTCTTCTCTCTGCCTCTTCCCTGCTCTGCTTTTCATCTCTCCATATTGTCGGAAGTTTGACTTCTAAACTTCCTTCGATAATTAATATGTACAATATGTTATAATCTGAAATGATCTGAGATTTAAACCACTGATCTTGCTGAAGCGGGATCGTGATCATCCAAAATAGGAATACCAACGAACGGGTATAGGGTAAGGGATGATAAGGGATGATAAGGGTATTCTTCATTGAAAATTTACGTTCAGGAAAGAAGGGTTGATTTGTAGTGGTGAATTGTGGGGCCTGCTCAAATTACACCACCTCTGGCACGGAATCGTCACCAACCAATTCTGGAGTCAGTCAAGACAGAGCTGTGAACCAAACCCCATATTGTACCCCAAAATCAACCAATGAGATCGGTAGATCTGTCCCATCTGTCTTTATCCTGAATCCTATCATATTCTCTTAAGGAAATGCACTCGTACCAGTTTGTGTGTGTAGTTGCAAGCATTCACTCCCAAACCTTGCAAGGAGTCCTTGTAGATATTGAAGCTGCTGTTCTGAAAATTCCATCCGCTCGAATCGAGCTTCACATTGCCGAAGAGGGCACCTGCTTTGACACTCGGAGGCAACCTGTCCAGAAAGTTGGCTGCGATCCAGGCGGGATCCTCATAGTAAGGGAATTGAGCATCATGGCTGGTGCTTTTTGGAATTGGAGCCATGACATTCAGGAGGATGGTGTTGATGTTTTTCTCTATGACAAAGCGCAGAACATCATCCAGGTACTGTTTGTAGCAAGGCGTGCTGAAAGCTGGCGCGCCAACAATACCACCATGATACAGCAAAATCTTTGGCATCTTCAAAGCTCCTGCAGGCGCCGGCGGCAGCTTATCAAGGCACATGCCACGTAGGCAGCTACCACCACAGGTTTTCTTCAAATCTTCATCGACGTCGCAAATGTCTTGGAATTCTTCTGCCTTCTCGTCTAAGAGTTGACCCATCCCTCCAAGCTGCCGTTGGCATGCACCCAGGTTTTTGGCGCTTGGATTACCGTCTCCGTGGGTGCAAAGCAAACCATCCGGCGTGCAGTTCGTGATCTTACTGCCACCGAGGTATGTATACTTTGTAGACACCTGCTCATCAACAAAGTCTTGCATGGGCCCAACCGGTATTGGATGAAGATCTGGGTTGTTGAAGGAGCATGCACCCGCACCAAAGCCCCACAGGCTGGAGCTGCTCAAACTCTTGCAAGCCTCAATCTCCATTCTGAACTCAGAGCAAGGCGTAGGCGGCTTGACCTGGCTGAAATGGCACTTCCCATTGGCTTTGCAATAGGTGCTCCAGCCTTCCTTTTGCCACTCTGGCCCCTCACATTTCCTGAGAGCCTTTGTGCAAAGAACTGGGCTTGGATAGTTGCAGTCAATGACGGCTGTCAGCAAGTTGCAGTCGACGCCAGAAAGATCAACCTCACCAACTCAACATGAAGAACTTTGGGCGTGTTCAATTGAGGCTTGTGTCTTAAAGTCTTAATCACATCTTAATGACGATGCATCCATTGAACTTTCAGACTTCAAATCATTGCAGTCCCCGCCTTCTCATCAGCTGTGCAGCGCGGGCAGATTTGAGGCTGAACTCCCGAACCGTACCACAAAGCCATGTTCGGGTAGAGACCTCGGCTGGAAAGCCATGACCGTTAAGTTACCTCCCCATACCTCCCACCATTTGTTCCTATGGAACATTATATAGTGATTTGATATCTACAAAATTCTACAAATATGTCCTCTCCTAAAGTGGTTGCTGGTTCCCTGAGTCAGATGGACAACTGATTCAAGTTCATCGCATGGTGATTGTTCATAATTGGGGTACCCAATAGTTTACCATATTCAATACCATGGATTTTCCTATTAAATGGTTTTAAATGGTAAACATTACTCCCCGTGAATCTGTCTTTTCATGTATTTTCCTATTGAATACCATGGATTCGGCATACCCAGCTCCCCATCTTGAGAAACACCACGGCCTCGCAGTCCAAGATGCTGATGTCGATGCTCTGAACGACCTCTGCGATTCCCGAGGTGCTCAGTCTCTCATCGATGTTGCAAGGTCCACCATGACCTGGCCGCAAACCATGGTAAAGGTTGCAACAGAGACCTGTGACAGCCTGTCTTGGGATGATTTGGGTGTCAACTTTGAGAAATTTTGAAATCCCCAACGGCTCAAACAAGCTGGGTCGGCTTACCAAAAATCCCGGCAAATCTCCTTGGCAGTTGCCCCCGGCGCAAAGCATCGGAACCGAATAGCCGCCTGTTGTGACCTGCGCAAGGTATAGAGTGATGCTGGTCACAAGCAGGTCACAGCAGCTCAGCATGTGCAGCCATTGCAGAACAATACAGATGCATGTGTGACCAAGTGTACCATGGTCAAAACTTGGTATATGGATGTATATGGGGTATGGTGTTAGGGACTCCTACACATAATGTCTACAGTATACAGTATACTTTATAACCCCCTATTAATCTATTAATGAGCTGATGACCATTCCCCAATATAGGTAATAAATGGTAGTAAACTCCAAGTTTTCACAATGGCATGTGTGTGTTGTGTGTTCGACGTGGAAAGGTACACAGAGACAGCAAGACCAGAGCGCGACGGCGCTACATCCCGGTCGGTGATCACCATAGTCGTAAGCAAAATCCCTCGCCCCGCTGTGGGCATGACAAGTTCATAAACCCACCATGTCTGGATGGTTTATATCGGTTCATACCACCTATCTATGGCGTAAATTTTGGGGACAAATGTTCACCATCCACAGCCCTTCCCGGCCTTGCCAGCCCATTTCTCCCACAAGACTTTCGTGTTGATACCTCCGCATGGCGTCTGCACCTCAAAGCCCAACACGGGGCAATTTAAAAAGAGCTGCATGGATGGTGTCATTAATCAACTTCAAGAGTTTGATCGATGGATGGTTTGTTGATGTTTGTTGGACTTCTGGTCCAAGTATGTCCAAGTAACATAGATCTTCGCGGTGTCATCCGTATAGCTCTGCCCCAAGCAGTAGTCAAAGCTGACACCAAAGATCGTTTGGGTTCCACAATTTCCGATCCCTTTGGTGAAGGAGATCTTCACGCCGAGCTCACTGCGAACCTGGTCCCAAGCCTCCACAATGGCTTTCAAGTTGCCTCCAACACCCTCGTTGTCGAAGTGGATGCCAGCAACCTTGGAGCTCAACTGCGGATTGGTTTTTTCAATGTATTCCTTGATGTATGTAGCACACGATGCAGCACCCACTGTTGCGCACTTAGATGTTGGAGTGGAGTCATGCTGGTCAGTGTCGAACTGCAGCCAATACCTTCGCGACTCATGAAACCCAATGGCTATGGGATGGTATGGGTCATGGATGGTCATGGCAACCCCGTTTTTCTTGGTGAACACCAAAATAAGCTGGCAAAAATCGGCAAAAAGATTCAAAAATCAAGGCACTGAAAAATTGTAAGGCCTCAGAAGGGCCTGGGGGGGGGTGTTTGTGACCATTACGTAATGCTGAGAAGTGTTGGTTTTCAAGAACTACTAGAAAATGTGGGGAGCCACCCTACATGCCCCAAATAAACACCATTGAGGCCTTAGTGTCCCCACTTTTTGTCCCCCGCATTCATTCAATTGTTTGTTCAATGTTTTTTAATTCTACCATCGTCACCTTTGCCAAACCCATCCCAACTATTTACGAGAGCTTCAGTTTTGGTGGCGCGAAAATTACGTGTTTAAGCCGGTCTTTGAGCACTGATTCTAAGAAGTTTCTAGGTCCTTCACATCCGGCTTGCTAGTGTTCAAAAAGGTGCCTCTTGATACCATGGAAACACATTCATCTTGACAGCACGAGAGACGAGAGGCAACCATGTGGCCTATAGGCCCAAGCACCTACATACCGCTTGCAAAACCATGAAAAATCGCGTGTCCACTGGGGTGGTCAATCATAGTCCAATTTCGGGGGGGCAGGTTGGATTCTGTTCCGGTTCTTGCTTGTTGGATGCCCATCTTTCTCCGGAAATGTGCCCATTTCCAAGCAACCGAACGGACAACACGGTCTCCATCTGCCTTCTCGTTTTTCGAAGTCTTTTTGGCATCGACCCAACAGATGTTGTCAAGACCAAACCCAAACAAAGCGACAAAGTATCACTGCGATCTCACCTTGCCGTCAACTCCCAAACCTTCCATGTCATGATCATCTCTGAAACACGTCCGCCAAGAATCAATCTCCCTACCGTCACAGAATTGCCGCATAGTACAGTCATTTACAGTCCATCACCTTGACCAAGATTCCGGACCTGCCGCGCATATCCCCATACACCCCATACATCCCATACCACCGACTTCGTTCACTTCAGCCTGGCCTACCGGCGGCGTGATGTGTATCAAGGTACATTGTCGGGACATTGTTCTTGCCAAGGTCTTCAGGTCAAAAATTACGTTTGGCCCCATTTGATGATATTTTCCATGGACATTTTAGGGGTGGGGTACCCATTTCTGACCCATGGCCAAATGTACTGCATCTGCCAAGATGCTCAATCTGCAGCCCGGGGTTGTTCTTTTTTACACGCGCAGTGGCCTCGCACAAACAAGGAACAATGGCGAACAATGGTCAAGCCACATTTAACGTTTCTCCGTTTCTCAAGACTGGTCCAACAAGCCAAACTGATCCAAACTGATCTATGTTAACATGATGTTAAGCCATGGTTTTGGACCTTTGGACATCCCGAATTTTGGGAAGACCCAATTTTCAGCATCTCTTGACTATTTTAATTTGATGTTGAGCCTCTCGATAGAAGTCCATCATCCCAATATGGGACACTGTGAGATAGATCAGAGCAGCTGTAGTAAACTTCCCTCGAAGAAATGGAATCTCGTTCTCCTCTCGCATATCAACAAAGCCATTGGCTTCCGCTGAAATGAACAACTTCCCACTGCCTCTGACAAAGCGCCGTGAACCTCCCCGCTGCCGGGTCAGCTTTTTCAAGCGCCCCAAGCGTCCACTTCCGCGCCCACGGAAGCGGGGACGAATCCCGGCACCTTCGACCAGCGCAGTACCAGGCAGTCTCTGCAGCATGCCAGAGTCATCGCACTCTGATGTGCATCCACCAGCCAGGGCAACGCATGTAAGCACATGCAGCGATAATGCTATTCGGGTGAGGAGCATGTCTCATTTGAAAACGTTGGCCTGAGGGAGTCAGAAACTGAGCCAATATGTGTCGCGGCGAGAAAGCCATGCCGTCTCTCCGTCAACCAGCTGATGTTGAAACGTGTGCTTCCAAGGAGTGAATTGCTGACAGCTCGAAGCGACAGAGCTGGCGACCTTCATCCAGCATGGTCCATTGATGGTATACTAGTGGTCACTACCAACATTGTACTAATCGCTATATATGTATACCATATAGTATTTTAATAAATCAACCACTCTTAATTGCCAATCATTCATTCTTAATTAATAGTGGTGGATTATGATTGCTAATGATGGAGCCGTAACATTCTTGAAGAACTAGAGTTCAGAATCCCCCTGGATGCTCTAGCCACTCGGGATCGCACCCTGTGCCACAATGAACAACGACAACAACTTGTTTGGAACCTGCTGACCTGACAGTTGACAGTCGAGATCAGAGGATCAGTCCGAATTCTATATCCACATCTCACATCTAAGAATAGAATGGAACAGATGGAGTCCATTAGATCAACTAGTCAAACCATGCCAGACACTGCCAGGACGTGCATCGGATGATACACAGCTATATAATACCCCGCAGGATCAATGGAGATAAAGTCGCTCAGACTTGGTGGGGCCCTTCCGGATCCAATTTGAATTGGTGGATCTTCACCCCCGCATTTCTTCGACAGGGGCTAGGCCAAGCAAGTCGCTCCAAAGGAATATCCACGCCTCGAAAGGTCACACTCGTTGGATGCTACACGGTCTCACAGATCATCCTGGGACAGCTGCGAATTGTGCCAAACGCACGTTGTAAACCGGGAGACGTCTGAGACTCAAGTGTGCTCTCCTTAAGCTCGAAAATTGATGAAAATTGCAATCTCGAACGATATCGACGTTCTGATTTTTTCTAGCAAGGTTGCTCTTAGCAAACATCGAATGCTGGCTATGTTGGGGTGCGCTGCTCACCTGCCAGTCTTTGCTTAATGTCGGAAATCAACGCACAACGCTTCTCATCAGATTTTGTCAGTACATTCCTGTGAACAAAGACAACCAAATGTCAAAAAGTCTGGCTCTTCACGTAAAAAATACATGTTTACAATCATGTACATACATGGAGACTGTGCAATAGCCGGATTCAGCTCATGTGATGGTGAGAGATTCTCATAGAGTTTTCAAGGCTTTTCGGCGCTCTTGCCAAGGTCTAAAATTCGGCCAGGAGGGGTCATAGCTCAAGACATCTTCCCAAGACTGTTTGCCTAACATGTTTTGGGACATCGTTTCATTTTCTTAAGAGTGGTGCGTCGTTTTTGCCGAACCTAAAAACCGAAACGGAACTGCAATGCTGGAACCCTGGAACCCGCTGTTATTGTTGGCTTGCGAAGCTGGGCAAATTCAGTTTATATGGTCTAGAGTCTAGAGTCATCACTTTAACTTTTGCAAAAGAGCAAATGAGGGGATATCAAACTTATAAATAAGGACACCACAGAGATTGATCGGAGTTCCAAAAACATTGCTCCGTGGAAAAGAACACAAGAAGAACAACGTCGCACCCCGCCCACCTGCAGGGCACAAGCCTTACAGTACATCGTCACCACCGCGTTGATGGGTCTGGTGGACACCCCGAGCTTCGAATCGGATCAAGAAAATGTCAGATCCGCCGCAGTATGTTCATCCAGGGAGCTTGTCGTATCGCCAGCCAAATGTTGCCCGTGGCATTGACCTGCGCGACCAGTGGTCATTTTGAGGTACCACAGATGCGCATGGTGAAAACAAGACCAAGAAATCCACTGGACAAAAGCCAGGAAAAAAGTGAAGTGACGACGATGACATCAAATCAACAACTGCGTGGCCCACTGCACTAGGACGAAAACCATAAATCGAGTCTCGGTGTTGGTTGCTTCGGCATTCTCTGGTCACATGCAATATTTGCTTTCGTCTGATTTTTGTCATCCAATGATTCTCATCAGATTCCATAAGATCCATAAGCAATGCTGGTAAATCTGACAAACATATGTAGACGAGCCAATGGTCAAAAAATATTAAAAGATATCAAAAGGTTGAAGCTGTATCACCATGCACCAACCAAATCCAGCCCCTGTGGAAGGCATAAGCTTGAAACCCTTCAGGGCTGATGCATGGACCCTGAGGGTCCCCAGAAGAGGGGAGCTTTCATGCTCTCAATTGAGTTCACAAGGTAGGGGATATTGATATCGACATTGACCTTGGAGAGGCTCAGAAATTGTGGACAAACGGAACATCGAATGGAGTTCTGAAGCTTGGCTCCATGAAAAAGATTCAGACACCCTGTCCGCCTGCAATGCACGAGCATAGTCCCAGCCCTCACCACCGCGCTGACGAGTCCACTGATGAACCACTTGCGCCGCTGCTGGCAAAATCAAAAGGCACAGCCAAGATGTTGCCATGGTTTGAATCTTCCAAACACCTTGTGGAGTGATGCGCTCTGAAACATGAACATGCCACTCGTCGCCATTCTTCAGGCACTTGAGGATTCTCGTTCCCCGGGCTAACTTTGGGAACACAATGGAACGCATAGTTCTGTCTTTTTACAATGGATCTTTGACTGCGCTGGATGAAAGAGTAAGACACTTGCATGGAAGCAATTTGTTCTGAAGTGTATTTGGGGGTATGTGGGAGCACAAAGGACCTTACTTATCTATGACCCCCAAGTATTCATGATGCCGTTTGCCCTCTTTCACTGTACACAATTTTGGCCCAGCTGTGGTCACCTTTGATCCGAAAACGTGAATACACAATCAGCGCCAAAAACTTCTTATGAAGCTGACATGAAGACCGGAATCTAATATTGAGTGCAAGAATGGAAAGGTGGCACATGCCAGTGCAAAAACACTGAAGTAAATCATCTTGAGTCCTTGAGAAACGCTTCAAAAGCAAACAAGCTAAGCAGTGTCTTTGCATGTCTTGGGAAGTATCAGCCAGGCAATTGATCAGGCCACGATACACTGCCAAGGAATAGCCAACCGATACCCCTGATAGCGGAAAAGAACTTCACACACACACACACAAAACACCACAAAACCACAAACACACCCCCACATCCGCCATTTCTGCCTTTTCAATCCATCGAATAAATGCACTTGCTGCAAAGCATCAGGAGACGGAGAGATGGTTTTCGTGATGTAAGTTTCGCGCTATCATTTCTGTGGCGCTCTTAGTTTGCCTTTCCATCCGGTTGTGACTCCAAACACCCCAGCCCACCATCTCCAAGAGCATCAAAAGCCGCTGGCATCAAGCAGTATCAAACTATGGGTCATTGCCCTCTTAATTAATTCATGAATTGGGAGTGCTCGGTGGCTCATGATGTACGAAGCAATGACTGACTTTAGAAACATCCCTTCCAAATCTCAGCCAAGATCACAACCCTCCTTCCACAGGTTCATAATATGTTATAATCATGTCATATCATGTCATTCTAATTAATTACAGTAGCATTTAAAACAGATACATCGACAATGAGTCAATGATTATCATCCTGCATCATGAGCTGGCCTAGACATTCATAAATATATTGAACATCTCCGCCGCAAATCCTTCGCATGGAAGACAAGTCTGCTGTCAGGACGGTTGCGGCGTGAAAAGTTCGCGAAACCTCCGTTGCGCGAACATAGCTATGGCTGTCCGGGAGCACCTTTTGGCAGGTTCGTAAGTATATTTATATATATATATATGTGTGTGTGTGTTTCAGCATGTTTTCTCATCCTGTGGATTTGTTCCAGTATTGAAATCGCACAATTTCTTCCCACCATTTCTATCAATCAGTTTGGAATGCTCCGTGACTCTCGACTGGTGCGTCCATGGTTTTATTTGTGGGTGACAATCTTATTCCATTGGTTCAGTAAAAATGATAAAAATGCAAGGATAAAAGGCAACCCTTTCAGTATCCTCACCGTCACTATCACAATGATCCCCATGATCTCATCCTCATCATCATCATCATCATCATCGATCAGTGAATGCTCGATGCTATCACCCCTCGAATTCACCAAGCTTGCAGCCATGGAGCAAAACTGTCAACTGGTCTATCAGCCGGGAGCGCACGGCTCGATTCACGGCATCAAAACCAGTGGTGTTGAGGATGATCTGCTTAATCATATCCTGTCCCAGACTGTCAGACTGTGCAGCAAACGGAAGTTTAGAAGACTGAAAACACTGCTGGGGCTACCAGGGCATGTTGTCAAAAATACACAAAGAAGAGAAGCTGAATGCCGCCTCTAAAATGCTTAAGCTTCACAGCGAATTTCACCACTTTGGCTTCTGCTTGCCTCGTCCTGCTCGGATCCCGCCCTTGCGTGCCGAACGTTGAGCTCATCCACGGCGCCAGTCAGCACTCTGATCCTTGTCACGTCATCAAGGCAACTGAAGCAGCTCATGCCAATGAAAAAGTGGTTCCATTCAATGGCAGCCATTCTAATCAGATTTTTTTAAATCATTTTCATAAATCTGGGCATTGATTGGCACCGTTTTGATCTGACATTTGATGGAGTTTGGTGGCGCTTGCTTGGGTTGGCAAGTCGCCTGCCCGCTTCCATAGCTTCCCGGAAAAAGGTCTCAGCCGTGTTGGGGAGTATGATGTTCATCGGTATCTCCTGCGCGATACACACCTCATTCCATGTTCAGGACGGTGGCTGTTTTGTGTTGTGCCGTTTTGCCCCGCTTGGCCCTTTTGCCTGCAACTCGCTGTTTACGTATATTTCAAAAAAGAAAAAGCGAAAAATCACGACATGTAGTTTGCTATATAAAGCAAAAAATATCACAGGATCAAACTTATAAGACCTTGACAACTAGAGGTGTCCGTCGTCTTTTCGTAGTAAACATATTTCATGTTTGGGTACGCATGTTTCAGTACGCCAAGTTTGACCCAAACCCCACGTGCGCCCACGTGATTCTGGACAGAAAAAAATAATAAGGCCGCGACGTAGCTTTCGAAGATACACCAAGCCCTCGTCACATAGGTCGGC